GCCTACCAATTTGGGTGGTCATCGGATAATATTTAGCGGGTAAAATAGACCATAACTTTTGTGTTGAAAAAATTCAAAATTTTTCATTAAACCGTGAATATTTTAAATCCCAGCGAAATCACAAAGCCATGACAAGGTTACTTCTGATCTTTACATTGATGTTAACATCCAACAAAACGGATATATAGCAAACCAGTAAGGAAAGCTCAAAAGTCGGGCGGGGCCGACTATATGATACCCTACACCACTATGCATATTTAGTAGAGCTCTCGTAAAAAGGTTTATACAGGGCATTTCAGAGCTCTATGAGATATTTGGTACAAAATCAAAATCTTTCTAATTCTATCGTGCATTTTACGAACTATAGCTATATCTGAACCGATTTTCACCAAGTTTGATGTATTTGATTCTAGGCTGAATTCGGTCAGATTTGCCAAAACCCAGGACATTTGGGCTGATATTGGACATTTGGTGCGCAATCAACACGAAATTGGATGAATATATATATAGGAGGTATATCCAAATCTGAACCGATATTTGTAAAACTGAAAAAGAAGATATTTCTTGGCTGCATCTGATACCAAATATTATTCTTGTATCGTACATTTTTCGAATTTGAGGGACTTAAAGTACAAATCGGATGAAAGGTATATATAGGAGCTATAGCTGTATCCGACCGATTTTCACTAAATTTGATGTACCAATATTAGCCATTTGCTGCACATTTAATCCGAAATCGGATGAAGATATATTTGGGAGCTATAGCTATATCTGAAACGACTTTTACTAAAATTGGTGTCCTTGCTTCTAGGCTGAATTTGGCCAGATATGCCAAAATTCATGCCATTTCGGTTGATATTGGCCATTTGTTGCACAATTAACTCGAAATCGAATGAAGATACATATGGGTGCTATATCCAAATTTGAACAGATTTTGAGAAAATTAAAAGCGACTACTTTTGGGCTTTATCTGATATCTGGTACCAAATATCATTCCTGTGAAGAGTATATTACGAATGTAAGGGACTTAAAGAGCAAATCGGATGAAACATATATATGGAGCTAGAGCTATATCTGAACCGATTTTTACTAAAATTGGTGTACTTGCTTATAGGCTGGTTTCGGTCGGATTTGCCAAAATTCATATGATGCACAATTAACACGAAATCGGATGAAGATATATATGGGAGGCATATCCAAATCGGAACAGATCTTAATAAAATTAAAATCAACTATTTTTGGGCTTTATCTGATAACTGGTACCAAATATCATTTCTGTGGAGTGCATATTACGAATGTGAGGGATTTAAAGACGAAATCGGATGGAACATATATATGGGAGCTATAGCTATATCTGAACCGATTTTTACTAAAATTGGTGTACTTGCTTCTAAGCTGGTTTCGGTCGGATTTGCCAAAATTGATGCTATTACGGCCATTTGGTGGTCAATAACCCGAAATCGGATGAAGATATATGTGGGAGCTATATCCAAATCTGAACCGATTTCGATAAAATTTAAAGCAGCTATTCCTGTGCTCCATCTAATACCTGGTACCAAATATCACGGTTGTGGAGTGAACATTACGAATGTAAGGGACTAAAACTCTAAATCGGATGAAACATATATATGGTTGCTATATCTGTATCTGAACCGATTTTCACTAAATTTGATATACTTGCTTCTAGTTTGAATTTGGTCCGATGTACAAAAATTCAGTCCATTTGGACTTATATCGGCCATTTGGTGCACAATTAACCCGAAATCGGATGAAGATATATATGGGAGCTATATCCAAATCTGAACCGATTTCGATATAATTACAAACAGCTATTTCTGGGCTGTACTTTATATCTGGTACCAAATATCACGGTTGTGGAGTGAACATTACGAATGTAAGGGACTAAAACACTAAATCGGATGAAACATATATATGGTTGCTATATCTGTATCTGAACCGATTTTCACTAAATTTGATATACTTGCTTCTAGGCTGAATTTGGTCCGACGTACTAAAATTCAGTCCATTTGGACTTATATCGACCATTTGGTGCACAATTAACCCGAAATCGGATGAAGATATATATGGGAGCTATATCCAAATCTGAACCGATTTTCTCCAAATTTGTTGTATTTACTTTAAGGCTAATCTCGGTCACATGTGCCAAAATTCGGGCCATTTGGGCTGATATTGGCCATTTGGTGGTCAATTAACCCGAAATCGGATGAAGATATATATGGGAGCTAGGTCCAAATCTGAACCGATTTCGATAAAATTTAAAACAGCTATTTCTGTGCTCCATCTAATACCTGGTACCAAATATCACGGTTGTGGAGTGCATAGTAGGAATGTGAGGGACTTAAAGATCAAATCGGATGAAAGATATATATGGGAGCTATAGCTATATCTGAACCGATTTTCTCCAAATTTGATATACTTGCTTCTAGGCCGAACCCGGTTGGGTGTGCCAAAATTCAGGTAATTTGGACTGATAGTGGACATTTGGTGCTCATTTAACCCGAAATCGGATGAAGATATATATGGGAGCTATATCTAAATTTGATCCGATTCTCACCAATTTCAATAGGGTTCGTCCTTGGGCCAAAAAAATATTGTTTGGAAAATTTCATCTCAATCGGATAATAAATGCGACCTGCATTTTGTTCACAAGAATACATGGACAGACGGACGGACGGACGGACGGACGGACGGACAGACGGACGGACATGCATAAATCGACTCAGAAAGTGATTCTATGAAGGTTCTCAAAAGTAACTATGGGTCTATGTGGTTTCCTTCTCCATGTTACAAACAAATGCACAAAGACATAATACCCTTACCACTATGTGGTGTAGGGTATAAAAATGTGCGATATATGTGTTTATCAAAGAAGATGTGCTTGAAAAATCTCTTATATGTCGAGAACGGCTGAACTAATTTCGACAGTTCTCATTAATTCAGAATGGCCTCTTGGCAGGAAAGAAAAAACGTCTAAAAAAATCGCATAAAAATATCTCTCTAAAGATGAAAATATTGATTTTCTAACATTTTCTCATATTTTTTCAATTTTGTCATATTTTTGGCATATTTTCATTTTGAATTAAAAATTTGATAATATTTCTACAGCTAACAAAACTAAGTAGTTAGGATATCAGGATATCATATACAGATCGCATTTATGGCCCGATCCTTACGAAATTTTGTATGGGGATAAGATGAGGGTCAGAGTAGAAGCCTACTCTTTTTGGAGATGATCGCCATATATTTAGGGGTGAAATGGATCAAAAAAACTGCAAAATTTTCAGCAAGTCGTAATTATCGCCCGATCCTCACGCGCATTTGAATGGAGGTTACCGGACATTGCAAAAGCCAAGCAGTTAGTTTGCCAACTTTTGTAGACAAAATTCGAAAATGTCCATTCCAGTGACTTTTTGGAGAATTCACAAATACAGGAAAGACGCACTTCTGACTATTTGGTTAACGCTGATTTAGTTTAAGAATATAGTCAAATGTCTGTATCTCATATAGATGCGTTTCAGTCAAAAACCAATAATAAATGTTAATCTTTTGCCACTTCTGAGAGATTATAGGTCTTTGGGAAATATTGGTTCCAGATCTAGGAAGACCATTTACGTGCAACATCTACCAATAAATTGGAAATGAGCAAATTAGTTAAAGTTGCTATTATTCGAAAATTAGAGAACGAAACCTGATGGTTTTCTTTTATTATTTTTAACAATATCTTGTGGAATTCTTTCGAGTATCTCGCCTATATAAACTGTATCGTTGATTATAGTGTTGTAGGGTATTCAACGGTCGGCCCCGCTCGACTGTAGCATTTGCTTACTTGTTTTTATATATTTTTTTGAAAATTTCGACCTTTTGTGGGGGAGGTACCAAAAGGAGTGGACCGATATATTCCCTCTTAACACCAGACCTTGGGTTAATAAAAATATTGGGATATCTGAAATTTGAAGACAATCGGACTCTTACATCATATTTTATAAGAGTTGTAATTATTCAAAATTTTGACCCTTTGTGGGGGAGGTACTTGATGGAGTGGACCGATATTGTCCATTTTCTCACCTAACCTAGCTCTGATTAAAATATAAGGATTTGTAAAGTTCGAGCAAAATCGGATTATCCTTTCTCTTTGTGTGCAATAAATTATTTTCTTTTAAAATTTTGACATTTTGTGTGGGAGGTACCAGAAGGAGTGGACCGATATTGCCCATCTCCGAACTCGATCTAAGTTTGACAAAAATATTACGATGTACCAAATTTGGATCAAAACGGATACTCCCTTCGAGAGTTATCATGCGCACCAGCCAGCAAGACAGACAGACGGACGGACGGACATCGGTAGATCGACTCCAAATGTTCTGAAGCGGATTTGGTAAAAAGAGACCTAGGGTCTAAGACCGTAACTACTAGGCACGTTTTGACCGTATCAAATGACATATACCCTTTGTAGCCATATGGCTGAGGGTATAATTAGAGCTATATCTAAAACTGGACCGATTATCACAAATGTCATTTGGATTCGTCCGGTGGTCAAACAAGTGAACTGTGCTAAAATTCACCTAAATCGGACTTTAAATGCGAGCTGTACTTTACTTGCCAAAACACATAGGCAGACGGACGGACATGGATAAATCGACTCAGAATGAGATTCTATGGAGAACACTAACCACAACTATGGATCACAAGGTCTGTTACAAACAAATGCACAAAGACATAATTTCCTCTGACCCAGTATCTACCCCATACTGTGTCGGTGCAAAGTTTTGTTTTGCAAGCTATGTGATGATTTCAAAAGACAGACGATCACAGTCAAAACGATATAGAATTTTATGGAGGAGATTATTAAAAAACTTATTTAGAGTCTAAGTCGATTTATTTTTACTCGCAAACGGCAGCTTAACCGCCTTTCCACTTTTCCTTCCATGTTTTGGTGTCCTTTGTTTCGCTATTTTTTACCTAACCTATTCAATACATACCAATTGCATACATATTATCTGTAAATATGTATGATGATCGATGCATTCCTCCAGCGTCTTTGCCCGGTAAATGATGTGACCCAAGTGCAGTTTATTCTGATCACGTATCAGCACATGTTCCTTTTTCTTTTGACCATCGTTGTCAGACTCGACCTTCAGCAATTCCTCATTCCACATTAAATCATCGGAGTTGACAATTTTGCGGGTTAATTTTTGTGCATCCTGGTCGTATTGCACCAGGAACCATTCACTTTTACTTTCGTTTAGGGGAAGTAAGTCTTTTTGAAAATCTTTAGAATCCATTTTTGGGAAATATTTCAAAAATTATAAATAAATGCAAAGAAATTGAATCACTAACAAATTGCTGTCGTTCTACAAAAGATTTCGTTACTGCAACAATATTTGAACGCCAGAGATGGGGTGTAGTAAAGTTGAACGACTTTTGACAAACTTGTTTGGTGTATAACGCAACGTACATAACTTGAAAGCTCAACAAAGATAGCATTAAAACGGTGTGTCAAGGATGACTACAATTCTAGTTCGGAAGTTATATGCTTCCACGACATTGAAAATGAAGCTATCGGAAGAAGACTCATATTTATAAACATGTATGTGACATTTGCGAGGGGTACAATTTTTCGCAGTCATATTATGTTTACCATCCCTGTTTATAACAGTACATGTGTAAATTCAGCCGTTTTCAGTGATAAAGGACTAAGTCACAAAGAAGAATATCTGTGTCATTAGAATTATTTGCAAAACGTTAAAACTTGAGATATGTATATGAACTTTTTATACCCTCCACCATACATAGTATGGAGGGTATATTAACTTCGTCAATCCGTTTGTAACTCATCGAAATAATAATTTTAGAGCCAACAAAGTGTATACCTTCTTGATCAGCGTAAAATTCTAAGACTCTTTAGCCCTGTCCGTCCGTCCGTCCGTCTGTTCTAATCACGGTAGAATCAAAACGAATAAATATAGAAAGCCGAAATTTTGCACAGATCTGTCTTTTGTCTGCAGGCAGGCCAAGTTCGAAGATGGGCTATATCGGTCCACGATATCGTATAGCCCTCATATAACGGTACCCGATATTCGGTATTTTGATGATTGTAGCCAAAATTTTCAATGTCCTAAAATCCACACAAGAAGTTTTCTTCTAAGCACTATACCCCCTGGAAGAGAATGGTTTATATAGGTCCACGATATCGTATAGCCCTCATATAACGGTTCCACCTTGTATTCAGTATTCTGCTGATTTCAGCGGCATTACTCACCGGAATGGTTTAAAATTACGTAACATAAAAGTATCCATTCTGGCCCAGCTTTTCGTATAGCCCCCCCATATCGGTACCTACCGGCATTCGGCATTTTGCTGATTTCAGCGACATTATTCACCGGAAAGGTTTCAAATTTCATATTTGCTCTTCATAATGGGTACTACAACCTGTAACAGAAAATTATCTATACAGGTCCAGGTCTTCGATAGCCCCCATGCAGGGTGAGATAAAAAAACGGCAACAAAGTCAAACGTCATTAATTTTACATTTTTTTAATTTTATTGAATGGAAGCAAAAAATATCGGAAATAGCTCCAAATTTTAGAATAAGTTTCGATTTTTTCGAATTGGTCACCTTTGGAACTAATCATGGCCTTCAAACGGCCAATGAAACCGTCACACGCTGCCCGAATGTTGCTCTGCGGTATTTTGGCCCATTTCCGGCGAAGCGCTTGTTTGAGGTGATCGGCACTTTGTTTTTTTTTTTTTTTTAGTGCCAACCTTGCTTTCCAAAATACTCCAGACACAATATTCCAACTTATTGGTATCCAGAGATTTTGGTGGCCATTGTGCGCTGGAAATGAAGCGAGGAATCTCATTTTTTGCGATGGTGCTGAATCCTGTTGGAAAATCCAAGGTCAGCGGCCAAGGTGTTTGTGCGCCCAGGGGCTATAATACACCCTCCAATATATTTTCGCGATAATATTCGGCATTTATTCTGATGCCATGGTCGATTAATACGAGCGGAGAACGACCATCGGCTGTTATGGCGGCCCACACCATCACCATGCCCGGCGCTTGAGTTCTGGTGGTCAACCGAAGGTACAAATTTTCAGCTGACCTCTTTGGCAAGTAAACACGATCATTTTGTTTGTTTACAAACTGCTGGACAACGAATGTTTTCTCATCGGAGAAAACCAAATTCGGCAGTTCAACACTTTCGGCCAAGCGAAGCAACTCTTTAGCTCTTTTGAGTCTATTTTCTTTCTATTGCGGTGCAAGTTCTTGGACTTTTTTGAATTTCAATGGCTTCATCCCGAGATCATTTTTCAATATTTTCCGAGTAGAATATTGCCATATGTTCAGTGCACGAGCCATTTTTTGGTCACTGCGGCGCGGGTTTCGATCAAGTCGTTTCTTTACTTTTCGAACCATTTCTGCTGATGTTGCTGTTTTCTTCGGTCCACTTCCTTGACGTCGGGGGGCTGCGCTACCAGTATCATGGTAATGAGCGATGGTACGAGACACAAAAGATTTATTCACATTTAAATGCTGGAGTGCTCTAACGATAGCTACTTGTGGTTTTCCAGCCAAATATAAAGAAATCACACTATCACGCTTAAATTCCATCACGAATAACTTTTTTTTTCTCACCAAAATGCTTTTGTACGTTTGTAAACAATGTCACTGGAATAATTTTAACACTTGTCGGACGAGTTTCTTAGAAATGACAGCAGTCTGACGTTGGTTGCAGTTTTTTCATCTCACCCTGTATATAGGTTCACACTATACGACAGCCCCCATATAACTGTACCCACGGATATTTGGTATTTTTATGATTTCAGCCAAAAATTTTAAATGGAATTGTCTTAAAATCCACACAAGAGGTTCCTTCTGAGTACTTTACCCCTTAGTCTAAATAGGTCCACGTTTTAGTATAGCGCCCATATAACGGTAACGGTAACGGTGTGAGGAACGGTGTGAGGGACTTTTAAACAAAAACATACGAAGCATATATATGGGAGCTATAGCTATATCTGAACTGATTTTCATCGAAATTTGTAGAAGTTGCTTTTAGGCTGAATTCTGGCGGAAGTACCAAACTCCAGTCCATTTGGGCTGATATTAGCAATTTGGTGCACAATTAACCCGAAATCGATTGAAGATATATGGGAGTTGTACCTAAATGTTGGTCATCTGTACCTTTTGGTGCACAATTAACCCGAAATAGGTTGAAGATATATATATGTGAGCTATATCCAAATCTGAACCGATCTTGATACAATTTGGCAGAGATATTTCCGAGCTCCATAAGATATCTGGCACCAAATATCATTGTTGTCGAATGCATATTACAAATGTGAGGGACTTAAAACCCCCAATCGGCAAAATTTGAGCTATAGCTTTATCTGGACCGATTTTCACCAAATTTGATAATCTTGCTTCTAGACTGAATTCGGTCGTATGTGCATGAATTCAGGTCATTTGGACTGATATTGGAAATTTGGTGCACAATTAACCCGAAATTGGTTGAAGATATATATGGGAGCTACATCTAAATCTGATCCGATTATCACCAATTTCAATAGGGTACGTCCTTGGGCCAAACAAATATTGTTTGGAAAATTTCATCTCAATCGGATAATAAATGCGACGTCCATTTTGTGCACATGGACAGACGGACGGACTGACATGCATAAGTCGACTCTGAAATTGATTCTATGAAGATCCTCAAAAGTAATTATGGGTCTATCTCGCTTCCTTCTCCATGTTACACAGACATAATACCCGTACCACTATGTGGTATAGGGTATAAAAAGTACTAAATTTAGTATTTGATCAAGGGATAGAGCTGGAAACCTTAAATTTGATATTGAGGTCTCTGTTGGTATGTGGAATTGAGATATGGAGATGGTTTGGCAAATGGGTATCTCAATTGTACAAAAAGTAGTAAATGGTACTAAATTTGATATTGAGCGTAGGAATTGAGCTGAAATCCTCAAATTTGATATTGAGGTTCCTGTTGGTATCTGGGATTGAGATTTGGTGGTGGGTTTGGAAATGTATACTAAATTGGTTCGAAAAGTACTAAATTGAACTAAATTAGGTATTGGGTGACGGGATGGGGCTGGAATCCTCAAATTTGATACAGATGTCACTGATGTTGTCTGTCGTTAAGAGAAGGAGCTGGTTTTGGATATGTGTACTATAATTGTATTAAATGGTGCTTAATTTGGTAATGGGAGAAATAAAAGGACTGAAATCCTGAAATTTGATATTAAGGTCACTGTTGGTAATTGCGAGATATGAAAGTTATTTTGAAAATTCTTACTACAATTGTCCGAAAAGTACTAAATTGAACTAAATTTGGTATTGGTAGAAGGGATAGAGCCTGAGTCCCGAAATTTGATACTGAGATCCCTATTGGTATCTGGGTTTGAGATTTGGAGGTGGGTTTAGAAATGCGTACCATAGTTTGAATAGTTTGAAAAGTACTAAATTGATTTAAATTTGGTATTGGGTGGAGTGATAGAGCTAAAACCGTAAAATTTTATATTGCGATAACTGCTGGTGTCTAGAATTGAGATACGTAACGATTTTGCAAATGAAAACGAAAAGTGCTAAATGTCACTACATTTTGTATTGAGTGAATGTATAGAGCCGAAATTTGATATTGAAGTCTCTGTTGGTATCTGGTGTTGAAATCTGGTGGTGGCCAAATTTTATTATGACAAGACGTTAAAATAGTTGTGGGCCGAAAAATTGGATGCGGATCCCTTGTGCAATGGTTTTACTCATATCCGCCTCGGAAAATTTCAAACTGAAAGGTTTTGAAAACTTTTTAGTGTAAACTGTAAACATTTTCCTTTTATTCTTTCCGAAAAAAGGAAAACCTTGAAGGTCTGAAAATTTATTACGATGTATGAAGTTTTAATTTAAAATTTTCGTAACCTGTACAAATTGTGCATTTTGGGTACTAAAAAGACCTAACACGAACTGTTGGAACGAATCTAAAATTTTAAGGGTGGACTTTTTGCTGACTATGTAGCGGGCACTTTCTAGTCTTCTATTAGTTCAATAGTCAGCTAAATATGGCCAAGTGTAAATTCTGGGACTGCTTTAGTAAGTCAATACGACGGGCCTGTGACATATCCAGATTCTAAGAGATTCTTCAAAAGGATGCTTGCACATGGACTAAACCTCTTAAAAACGATAAACTACCGACAACGCTATTCGAATACAAATACAGTACTGTCGCTAAATTACGAATGATGAGCAGGATCAGAAGCATCCCGAGAATTATATGGGCGGTAGGCAATTTCAAATCATCAGACCAAATGGTATTATCCGTTCGCCATGCTACAATATGCTTCTTGTGAAAGCTTCCACAGTAGAGTTTCATTCCATT